TTTTGGTGCATTAGGGTTAAGCCACAACATTTGCCTGTAATTTCTTTGAAGCTAAGGCACATTTTATGATAGACCACCATGGGCTCAGGAAGAGGTCACCAGAAACCCAAAATCTTATGGCCTAGCCTAGATAGATAGGTAAGGGGAGAGGGGAGGCAATAAGGCACAATACAGAACAGAAAACAGTGGTTATGTTTTTCTTTCTTTCTCGGGTGGGGGAGCAAGGTCAGGTAAAGGGTTATGCTAATAAGCAAATCTCCCTGCACACAAGCAAGTTACTTTAAACAAGTGTAAATTAGTGGGCCATCCTAGTTTTCTTTAGCTCTTTAGTGGATAATAGAGGCACCTAACAGTGATTAACAACACTTGTTAGCTTGTTTTAGCACCACTTCTGTTGTTTGTAGAGGGCAACAATGGTTAACATATCAATTAGGTAAGGTTTTACAATTCTTTACAGAGAAGAGCATTGATTAACATATCAATTAGGTCATCCAAAGACATAAGAAGGAAAACATATACAGTAAGCCCCTGTTACAGGTATAGTTATAATACACATATAACGAAGCTATTTTCTTAGAGTACAACAATAGATAACCTCAGAAGTTCAAGTACCATAAAATTAAATTTTTAATGGCTCAATATATTTTGCCATCAGAGAAATGAGTACTGGTGATGTTGAGGGAAGCAGGAATCTTCCTGTGTTTTTAAAGGGATGTAAATGAACAAACAACTCCAGAGCTCAATATAGAAATTCCTCAAGAAACTAAACATGGAAATACTATTTCACTCAGCTGTGTCATTCTAGATATATTTCTGAAAGAATTAAAAACTTTGCACTACAGTGATACATGAATACCCATATGTATAGCAGTATAATTCACAATAGTTAAATGAGAAAAGCCTAGATGCTCATCACTATACGAATGGACAAAGTAACATACATATATTATAAAGTAATATTTAAAGTGATATTGATGTATAATGGAATATTACTCATCCCATATATTTGCAGGATAATGTGTAGATCTGAAAACCAGTAAGTAGAATTATTGTGGTTAAGTAAAATTAACCATATTCTAAAAGTTAATTTTTTCTTTTTTATGAGAAATCTAAAAAGCATATGTAGGTGGATACAGGACAGGAAACCAGAAGATCAAGAAGATGGGCATATAGATGGATACATGGTATGGAATCAGGGCAAGAAGGGGAGAGATGTGAGCAGAAAAATGCAACTGAAATTTCTTAAGACATATTGTCACACATCTTCCCAAAACACACCACACCATTGCATAATGTTAACACACACTGATAAAATACAGTAAAACACAAAACTGAGAATGAAAGACATAAATGCAAAATGAAATGCAAAAGGAGTGAATAAAGAGACAGCATTCTCCAAAGATATACAAAATAAAAAGTTATATTTAAAAGATCTTAAAATCACTAGCCATCATGGAATTGAGACATTACAATGAACTATCAACTTGTAACTGTTAGGGTGGCTTCCAAAAGGAAAAGAAAATATCTCTGCAGATTTTAGAAATAAACCCTACTATACATGAGGTATGGCTGAAAATTATACAGAATGTATAAAATTTTAAAATATAGTAAAAGATACACTGCTATTAATTAACCGCCCTCAGAATATCCTCCCTCACTTCAAACATTCTTATCCTGTAGTTCTTCCCATTTCCTGAAGCAGTTCTAGAAGTACTCTCTAATGAATATCTTCGTATGCACCAGTGCAGCTTCCTCAATATTGGGAACTAAAGAGTATACCTTTAGTGGTCATTGTGGCTTGGGGGAAAGAGCCAAAAGCCATACACTACCAGATCCTGTGCAGACATGGATGAGGACACATCGTAATATCATACCAACCTGCCTTTCTGTTAGAGGACACTTGGTTGCAGAATTCACCATGTATTTGTGACATCTCATAAAGATAGTCACAGAAAAGGACTTCCAGAACTGCTTTGGAAAGTGACAACCATAGGACAAACATGCTCCAAGAAAGGAAGGGGACTCATGTTAATATATTGTACTGTAAAAACTTTTTATTTAAATATCAACTGTGTATGTCAATCATATCTTATTGTTTGAAGAGTACAAAATTTTAGTTACACAAATGAGTAAGTTCTAGAGACTTACTGTGCAACATCATGCCTGTGGTTTGAAATATTGAAATATAAACTCAGAGTTTTGTTAAAACAGTAGATTTCATGTTAAATATCCTCACTACAATATTACAAATCTTGTTCCTAATATTTGAAGACACAAGTTTAAAAAAAATGGGGCTAATTAGTGAACAAACATGCTGTCACAAAAACTCCAAAAAATGAAAATTTACCAAATTAAATATAAATAAGTAGCATACCAAGAAGGAACCAGAGATGTCCACAGGCAAAGAGATCTATGTGAGAAGTCTTTGATTTAACAGGAGAGAAGTAGGTCCACGCTGAATACTATCTTTGAACGCTGACTCTATATCCTCTTTTTAAATCAGAAATAGGGCTAGTTTTCTTAAGATGGTGTCTCACAATATTGCCTAGACCAGATTGATAATCCTGGGCTCAAACAATCCTCTGATCCAGTTTCCAAGAAGGTGGGATATGGGGATATTATTTTAAACTATTTACAGTTCTACTGTGATAGTTCTAGAGATACATTTATTATCATTCAAGTCCTTAAGGAACCTCACTGAAAATGGTTCCACAATTTAAATATCTTGATTCTAACACAACTTTCTTTGTTTCTGTCTTCCAAATACCAAAAAAGGATGTTTTGTTTTACTGACTTGGAAATATTACACAGGATGAATTTGAAGCAAATTCTGATTGGTTTGTATCACTTAGTGGTTATCTGAACAAAACTGAACACAAATCTTAATTCTCCATTTCCAAGATTTTCTGACACCTTGGACTACATATGAAATATGATATCACAATATCAGTTTCATAACAAGCATGGCTTTTGATTTATGTACGTAATTCAGCTTAATACATTGTTATGGCTTGTGTCTAGATGTCCCCACAAAGCCTAATGTAGTCATAGGTGGGCTTTTTCAGAGGTGGCTGCATCTAGAGCATGTACTGCTGGAATTAAGGGCGTATGATTACTAAATCAGCACACGGATTAGCTTGGCACCACTTTATGCCCAATAGACTAGAAAGAGTATAAAAGGGGCAGAAAGATGCTGTTAAACTCACTCACCTCTTATTGTCTTTGCTGTCTTTCACTGCCATGAACTCTTGCCTCTCTGCCATGTGTCACCCTGCCTTGGAGACAGCCAACTATGGACTGAAATCTCTACAAACTGTGAGCTAAAGCTTTCCTCCTTAATTTTGGGTGTTGGACATAATTGTCTGAGCAGTAAGAGAAAAGAAACTACGACATATATGTTATGTATAATTTCTCTCAGACCAGAGATACTTTTTTCCTGGACTTGGTGAAGTATCAGGACAAATCTATAGTGTTAGTAATCAAGGCAAAAAGATATGCATATTGTAAGAGTAGTTTAGCATTTAGCCTGTATATAGGCAGCTAGCACAAGACAGCACCTAAGAACCAGTCTGGATGGATAGCTGTGCAAAGGAAACAGCACATACACAAGTCAAATAGATTACTAAGCTTAGGAATGTAAAGTAGAGAAGTGAGCACTGTAACAGAACCCTTCCTCCCTGGGACTTTGTTCTTCCTATTTACATAATGAGAATGGAAAAAGAGCACACTATCAGTGCAGAACCACAGCTTGCTCTGTTTCTGTGCAGGTTAGGTTAGACATGGCAGCCCATATCCACATTCTACAGGCTGAGCCAAACACAGCTTGATGTGTTACGGCTTTTTCCTTCTTTCTTATACTTCCAATAACTGCTCCTTCTAACGGCCTCCTTTGTGATTTCTTTGGCTTCCTGAGATACCAACCTAGCTTGGACAGTATTGATGGGATCTTCAGTGTTTCCAAAACTCCTCGCCATTTCCCCAGACTCTCAATCACGTGTGGTCAGTGACAGCCGATCCATACTGACCTTTAGCCCTGCCAACAACCACTTTTGGTTTCTGGAACTCTTCTAGACACCTATTCAGAAATCCTTCTCAAAACTCTGAATTCTGTGCACCCATGTTCTACACTGAGAGGGGGCTCCCTAAGGTTCCCCACATCTCCACGCCACACTCCAGGGCAAAGGAATTGTGTTGTAGGCCAGAAACTCTGAGACCTACTCAACCTGTCCTCAAGAACACCAGCAAAGGCCTTCTCTGGTCTTTGATCTCTGCAATAATTTGAGGTGCTTAGTTTTACCAGCCCTTGCTCTCTGACTTTAGTCTTTCCTTCCTCCCACTCAGTGTGTCCTTATCTAATCTGGGGCGGGGGCAGTTGAAAGTGGAAATAAAGTAAAAGAGATATAAAAAAATTTATGATTCAAAACTCTTTGAAAGGAAACTTTTTCATGTCTTCTTTCTCCTCTTTGCATTTTTATTTTACTGAATGTAGTACATCAAACATCCTGAAAAACTGAATTGAAAAGATCAAGATGTTTTTAAAAGATTGTGTGGCAGTACCTGCTAATGTTTTCCTTCATATAAACTAATCCCCTTCAGTAAAGTTCTCATATAAAACTAGAGTGGACATTAGGACATATGCATTAAATATGTACACCTTTGGTACATGTATCACTCATATATCAATTTTTAAACAAGAAAAAAAAGTATTTGGACTACTGGCTGTTTACAGCATCATTTATGTATGTTTTTGGAATACACTTGTATTCAATCTCAGCAAGATGTATATATTAAATACATGTACACTTTGTACATATGTCAGTAAAATTTTTAACTGGAGTGGACACAAAAATCTATAAAAATATTACTACCTAATATTTACTATCCTCTTATTTTCAAAATTGCTTAAATACTTCCCAGGCCCATTAAGTCATTCCTGCAATTGTCCTCAATTCCCTTGGAATCTGGAGCAGAAACAGAAACTCCCCACCCTGGGATCCTGATCACTCAAGCCTGCTGAGGCCCCTGTGGTTCTGGTGCAGGCTGCAGGTGCCTGGGGAGCACTGTGTGCTCAGTGCACAGAAGTAGGCAGCTGAGTCGCGATGCTGGGAGCTTTGGATGTGCAGGGAGAAATGCCGGCTGGCTGTGCTGAGCTGCGCTGTGAATCTTCCTTCTTTTTTGTCCCCACTGGAGTATATGGATACCAGCAGCTCGGGGCCTTTCCCAGGGTACTGTCGGTACCACCCGAAGTTCTGAGAAGCACTGTTGCTGTAAGTACAGTTAAAATGGGCGCTGTCTCCCTCTGGAACACGGAGGAAATCAGGACTCTGCTCCACCTCCTTTTGCTGGCTGCTTACCCCTGTGCAAAGAGACAACAGGCAGACAAAGAAGATTGATTGGGTTTGGAGTGATTGCTCTCCAGAATGAGAGCTCCTATTTCATGGGCCTTTAATGCTCCTTCATACTAAGTGAAAATCATTCATGTTTCTTCTCACAAGCCTGGAATATACGACTGCACACACTGTACATCTGTTCCCACAGAAGCTCACCATTCCACTGTAGCCACAAAATCACTAGTACAACAGTCAAGGATTCCATCATGTTTTCCTCCCTGGTTCAATGAGGATCTCAGATTTTAAATCCTAAAAGAACATGTCTTGTTCAAATGTCTCTGGCTAAACAGACTCTGTTCTCCCAGTGAGAAAGGCATTGCTTTTATCATCCCTGCTTCACAAGTCCTTCCCCCGCCCTCTCTTTTCACTTTCACACACACTCACTCCATATGGGCACTGGAAAATAGTCCTTCTGGTCCCTGAGAAGACACTGCCATCTTGTGGATCTAGCGCAGTGATCAAAGCAATGTCAAGATGCAGACACTTGTTATATCAACAGTTAAATGCAAAAATTTGATACTCTGATGAAATTAAAAGTTTAATAAACATTTCCATACCAAGCCACATGTGTGGAATGTGTATGTGTGTGTGTATTTTGTATCCAGTGGCAACTGTCTCCTGAGTAAGAGTACTTATTTCAGAGGATCACTTTGCTGCACTGAAAAATCATTCACATTTCTATTGTACAAAGCTATGTGTGATTTGAGGAACATTTTATATTGCACAGCTCTTCTTTTATTTATTTTATTTTATTTTATTTTAAGACCATTAAATCAAGGAAAATATAACAGAATAAAAATCAATCAAAACTAAACCAGCATAAGTGACACAGGACTTCACACCTTAGGAAACCAACAATAGTTTCCATAATGCCATTTGTTGCCTCCAAATAGCTACAAATGCTTTCACACATAGTAAAAATAGAGCATAGTAGGACAGAATAAAAACAATAAAGGCCAAACAGTGAATGCTGTAAAGGGCTTCAAAACAAGCACTAGTAAATCCAAAATGGCTACCATACTGTCTTGTTATCTTTCAGATAGCTACTCCTGCCTTAAGATTTAACATAATCAAGCAAAACAAAAGAGAATAAAACCATCCCAGCAATACAATGAAAACTATATGGTTTCCCAGCAGGGATCCCTTCTTGGTGATCTCTGCCCCTCAGCAGTCTAAGAGTGGCTCGGACTCACTCACAGAGAGAGGCTTGGGTGTGGCTGTGTCCACACCACAGCAGCCAGCACATTGCACAGCTCTTCTACGTGTCAGCTTAGGTACCCTGTCCAATTCTCTCATCACCAATTTTTAAACCAGTTTCTTATAGTTGGAAAGAATCCTGTCAAAACATAATATCTTCATATCTCGTTTAAAAAACATGGTTCCAGCTCACGGTCTTGGATATGCTTATATTTTTTATCAAGATTGGAAAGCAGATGAACTTGTAGCAGTACTACTGAAACATCCAAGGCCAATATCTTACCTGAGATTCGGAATAACCTATTAGCTGGGAGCCTTGATAAACATTGAAGAGAAAGCTGTAAACATTCCCAAGTGCAGCAACACAGGATACACATTCTCTCATTTCAAAAGAGAGAAATGAGAGGGCATAAAGGAACCGAATGAAAATAACACTGAAATACAGAAGGGGGAACATTACATGCTGTGGCTTCATGTGCTGCTGTGAGATGTGAGCATCAAAGGGCTCCTGGCCCTGCTCCTGTGGCTTTGCTGATGGCCTCTTCCTTGAGGTGGCTCCACGCATTACCTCAGCTTGCCTCAGTAGATGATCCGCATTCCTGACCTCTTCAACCTCCCACTTCAGCTTTTTTGTTTTATTCTTACAGCTTCACATACTACCCTCTCATATGGTTGTGACAAGGGCAATGATCCTGACACATATTTATTCCTGGGTTCTCAGAACTGCTACTGAAATCTAACTGTGAACATTTATGACCCCATAATTAATTTTAAGCATTCAGCATGCTTAAAAAACCACCACCATGAGAATAATACCAAGATCTTCCACTAGATTAAGCAGTAGCGAGGCCTCCTTGGACCATGGTGCAGTAACCTCAGAATGCCTGGATGACAGCCTAATGAAATGAGTCTTAAGAAACCCATTTCTTGGATGGCACTTCTTATTGAAATTAGTATCTTGAGAAACTTTTTAATTGGCAGTAATTTACAATTAAACTGTCATAGGTCCTTACAATTACTTGATTTTTAAGTTACTTTTATAATTTCTAACATCTTTAGTTGCCACAACCCATGCAGCCAGCAGAATCCTGACAGGGGTGACAGGAGATTAAGAAAAAACTAGAAGAAGCACTAAAAGAAAAGACAGAATAGGTGGCATCCGGCCTTTCTGATAGAGAGGCAGAAACAACCAGCACACTCCATGTCCTTGTGTGCACCCAGTGAAAAGAAGGATGCACTCAACAGAGCCAGAAGTGCAAAGTCCCGGACTTTTGCTGAGAACCATGAAAGTGTTTCTTAGAGCCTTCTGCACTACAGTTAAGAAGAAAGAATACCAACCCAGACCCCTATTGGGTTGGCTTTGCTCTAGTCCAACAACTTGTCCACATGGTTTGCCTCTGGTGCTCCATGTTCTCAGGGCTGGCCTGAATCTGTGGCCAGTCTCCAGTTCTGCCATGTCCCACATTTAGTTATTTGTTTATTGTTTTTCTTTTGAAGTCATTTCCTTAAGACTCAGTACCTTCTGACTGAATGTGATGAGCTGGTTGGGAAGAGAAGGCTGAGATCTTGAGTGGAGCTAAGTATTTGATGAGCCTATTGAGCACAAATGGTGGGGGGGGATCTGTATCCACAAAAAAGGCCAGAGTGAAGACTGTTCTATGTAATGAAGCAGAATTCACACACTGTCAGATCATTGGATTGGTGATGAGAGGAATGAACAACTAGAATGAAAGAAAGACCAAGTGGAGGGAGGAAAAAAGGCATCTTGCTAGGGGCTGGATGGAGAGCCACTGGGAGAAATCAGATCAGATGCTAGAATTTGACAACATGGATAGGGCCAGACGATTGGATAATGATTTTTATTAAGCAAGGCGGTAACCGAAGGGCAAAATAAAACTAGGGAAGAGGAAGGAAAAGTGCAGGTGGAGAACTGAAACCCGACAATCTCCCTGAGACCTGATCTGCACTGTACTAGGCTCACCCGGACGATCCAAAGTCATACTGAGACCACAGCTGCCAATGATGGGAGTTGGCAGATCCCAGTTTCTTAACAGGAGGATGCAGCACAGTGAGCAGTGAATCCAAGGGGAAGAGCTTTATTGGCTCTCCATGAGTGCAAGAAATTGAGTCCCGGGGACTCATGAAGCAGCCAGAAACACCTGACCACACTGGAGGAGACACAGTAGGAGCATACATCTGGGCACCAAAGCCGGGCCCTGTGCAGTTTTCTGACCGATCTACACTGTGCTGGGAGCTCAGTGAAGACACACCATGCAGTGTGAAGTGAAAACAAGAGGAAGAACTGCATTGATTCCTGGTGAGTGCTAGGGATTGGGTCCTGTGGCTGCTATCGCTGGCTGGAGGACATCTTGGAGTTGGACAGAGCCCAGCACCATGGTGACATCAGTGAGCAACCCCTGGCACAGTGAGAACTGAAGGGATCTGCTGGGGCTGAGCCATGCCTCTGGTTGGGACCCAATAAGCAGGTACAAAAATGTCACAACTCTGTGCCCTCCACAGATACAGCCTAACTTGTGGATTGACTGGCTCAGGGGCTCGAGGCTAGCCTGCACCATCCCTGAAATCCTGCATACCTCAGATAACAGCAAACTGAGGAAAGCAGCAAAACGCCAGTCAGCACATTTTAGAAAGACTCTAAGCAATATGGAGAGGGCCAGAGACCCCCAGGAGAAACCAGCCTGAAAGAAACCAGAGACATGACAATAGATAGAAATTAAAAAAAAAAAAAAAAAAACCTCCAGCTGCTGAACCTGGGAAAATAAGCCCAGGAGAAGTAAATACAAAAGAGAACCAGTGCAGTAACCATCCAGTACTACACACAGCAACAGCAGACATAAAGAAATACCTGTATGGCCTCATAGATGAATTTAAAATTGTACTTCTGATCCAAGTGAGGCAAGATATAAAAAGATTAATTAAAGCAATGATAAGCCCTTACCAAGAGAATACAGATGATAGAACAGAGGAAGTCAGAAAAGAAAGAGAAACCGCTGATGAAGAATTCAAACATAATCTAGAATACATGAAACAGATCCAAAGAGATTACAGGAAAATAAAAACTCCATTGAAAACTGGCACAATGCCTTGACAGAAACTAAAGTTAGCCTTTTGAAACTTGAAGAGAGATTTATGATACATGATTGCAAAAGAAAAGATCTCTTAAAAATAACGAGGAACCAGAAAGAAACAATTCAAAGGCTAGAAGACAAAAAAAGGACATATAACTTAAGAATACAACACGTGAGCGAAGAAGCAGGAGTAAACAAAAATGAACTACAAAGACTATTCACAAATATAATAAAGGAAAACCTCCCAAGCATAGTAAAAAGAAATGATACCCAGATAAATGAGACATACAGAACTCCAGCCATCTACAACCAAAACAGATCTACACCCAGACATATAATAATCAGGATTCCAGAAATCTACCAAAAGAACAGAATATTAAAAGTAGCCAGGGAAAAGAAGCAGATTGCCTATAATGGAAAAATTATCAAAATAACAACATACTTATCAACACAAACTCTCAAATCAAGAAGAGCCTGGGGGGAAAGAGTCCAAGCCCTGAAAGAAAATAATCTGCAACCAAGGAACCAGAAAGAAATAATTCAAAGGCTAGAAGATGACAAAAGGATATATAACTTAAGAATAAAGCATGTGAGCAAAGTCTGGTTTGTTAGACTGTGGTTTTGCCCTGGCTGATTTTATTTGAATTCGGTATGCTTGATAGTATTAAGTCTAAGAGTAGAGGCAGCTACTCTGAAGATGACAAGATGTAAAAGATACCTATACCATTTTTGATTATTAACCACTCTCAAGTCCTACAATGTCTTCAAAGTTGTGTTTTTATGAAAATAGCTATGTAATACTATGCTTAACTGTATTAAGCCTGAGGATGTGGACAAGGCTATTGAAAATAACAAGAGAAAGCATAGTAACTATGGCAGATCACCTAATATTGAGGTCTTATGTGTCTTTTTCATTACAAGTTTTTCTGGGAATTTATTTTGTTGTCTTCTCATGTTTTTCCCTATAATACAGAGAGGATAGATATACATGTAGCAATTCACACACGGTGAGTTGAAACTATTTACTGGAAC